CAAAGCGACGGCTCGACGCGCTCGTGGGGGGTTGGCAATGAGGAGCGAGGCTGACGAGGTTGGGCCATGCACATGGAGACACCTGAGAGCTTGGCACAGGGGAAGCAGCAGCTGAAGCACAACTCCTGGCTGGAATTCATCCCCTGCACTGCCACCCCACCGAGAGCAGCAGGGATGGAAGGAAGCAGCAGAGAGTTGGGTTTTGACTCGAGCAAATGAGGTTTAGTCTGATTGTAACTGTCTATGCTTTGGTATCTTCTCCCTTTTCCAAATGAAACTCCTTCTCTGCTATCCTTGGCCCCACTGGGCACAGCCAGGGTCAAATCCCTGAGGTTGTGTTGGCTTCAGTGGGGAGATTCTCCTAGAAATCCTCACTGCAGGCCCCACTGGGCACTCGCACACCCAAGGTCAAATCCCTGAGGTTGTGTTGGCTTCAATGGGGAGATTCTCCTAAAATTCATCACAACAGTGTTCTGCTCTTGGAGATTTCCTTAAAAAACAGTAATTTGCTGAACTGCTCTATGGTGAATCAGTAACATGAAAGATGTTCCCAGGAAAGGTCACTAAATCGACTTGGGAAAATGTGTTCAATGAGTTGTTGCTACACAGTAGCTTCCCTAAACTCCAAAACTGATTTTACATGAAGCTCAAGGTCTTGCTCTCTTCCACTGAGAGACAGACTAGGATTGTGTCAGGAGACAGCTCAAAGTTCATTGGTTTTTAAAACCCCAACAGAGCAACCCAAGGCATGTCTCATTAAGTCCATTCCACCTCAGTGCAAGATGGACTTCCCAAGAAGTATGCCCAGGCAGCAGAACAGGGACCTGACTGAGCTACAGACTCACTGAAATGGGAAAACCAGAATGATTTGGAGCTGCTCCTTCTTGAACTACACATGACCATTCCCTTCTGCCTGCTCCAGCTGACAGAGGAGGTGGCAAACCAGCCTGACCTGGTGTGGGCAGTGGGAAGGCTAAATTCCCTGCAGAGGGCAAGACAGGGAAAACACACACACAAAACCACTGGACTGTAAATTATTATTCTGAGCCTGATACTCTGCAGAGGTATTTGGTGACTGTTAGGCTCTTAGACTGCAAATAAAGGAGAGAGGTGACAAGAAACCCAATTCCAACAGTCTGTATTGAGAGTGCCCAATGCACCTTGGCCCAGCACTCACCACCTGCCTGACACACCTGGCCATCAAGTGTCCTTCAGCCAGTGAGCAGTGGAAGGGTCCTGGCAGATAAATCCAATCCACACAGACCATATAGCCATCAGACTAATCAATTAGGAGCAGGGGCTAGTTATTTACTTCATGAAGAGCAGTGGAGAGCCTGGTGACAGGTTATCCCCTCTGAGCTGCTGCAGCACACTCACACAGGGGCCAGACAGGTTGCTATGCCAATGTCACACTACTGCACTACTGTGCAACTGAGACAGGTTGAGAGTCCAACACAATCAAAAAGGAAACCAAAAAAAATTAAAATAAAGTAATAAAAATACAGCTAAACATTTGGGTCACGAGAGTCTAAATGATCATGCTGTGAAGTCATTATGGAGGCATTTGAAGCTTACCAATCCCCTAGAGTCAGCCATTCCTCTATGAATCCTTCAGTCTAATGCTTGCTCAGGACAAAACAAGGGAATAACAGTTACAAAACAAGAAACAACACTGAAGTGTAGTTTCCCAAAGAACAAGGAAAGCGTCGAAACCTTTCAAAAATCAACCCCCTTGGTGCCTTTGGTGAGGTTCTCCCTAGCCAGTGACACAGGTAGCATGGATAAAACACCATTCCTTTCCTAGTCCAGCAGCAGAGAGAGGATTTCTACTGCACACAGAACCAGCTGCCAAAAAAAAAAACAAAACCAACCCCCAGATTCCTTCCAGGGTAATCAGTTTCCAGTTCTAGCAGCTCTGGATACCACTGGGAGCTTCCTCATGGACACTTCTTGTTTGGAGATAAGGTAGAAGCAGCAGTGCTAAAATCCTGTGAGCAAACTCCTATTACCAAAAACTTTTGTGTAGCTTTGCAAAAAATCTAAGTGGCTGTGGCAAACAGGGAGAAGCTGCATCCAAGTTACTGGATGTTCTCTGTGGAAACACAAGGGAATCCTCACCCTTTCTTTACTGTTAGTGCTTGCAAAGCAAAACTCATTCTGGAAGTGATTTTTTTTTTAAAGGGATTAAAATTATCATATTTTTTACAGCCAAAAATACATCATTTTTGTTTACCAAGGTTACAAAATGAATCCCAGGTCGTGCTGGGGCAGGAAAGGAGGGGCTCAGGTCTTTAATCCATGCAGCTTTTATCTTTTGGCCCTGTGATACCTGACAGAAGACTCTCCTCCCTGTGAGCAGTGTTTCAGCCCTGTACACCATCTGGCTGGCCCCACTTGTCTCACACAGGAGTGTGATTTTCCTTTTGTGCTCAGCACTGCAGGAAAAGCCAAGAGCACTTTGGTTCTAATCCCTGTTCCATCAGCAAAGAAACAGCCTCATTCCCAGCAATATGCTGAGAATTCCTGCCTGGGTTAAAACATGCCTGGCAGTTTCCATACAGAGCTGAAAGCCTAACCCACTCCACCACAGGCACAAACACCTCAGGTTCAGTGCTGATGCACAAAATCCATGCAGGTAGCATACAAAACCACGGGACAGGCACAGACAGTATGAAGGAACTCAAGCAAATGGTTAGGGCTAATGAGAGCTGTGGAAATGAGCCCCAGGTTGAGCACCTTACCTTCACTTTGCTGGCTCCCTGCACTGCCACTGCCATAGCTAAAGCCTGGGTCTTGGTATGCTGGTGGAAAACACGGAGGGGGCAGAGGATACTGGTATGGATACCCTTGGCCTAGTGGCCAGGGAGCAGCAGGATGTGGGAGTGGAGCCAGGGTGTCCTGATCCGAGGCCCCGCTGGAACCATTGTTAAGGTTCAGTGCAGCCAGGTCTGGAAAAGAGGGAAAAAGGTAAAGACTGGTGAGAACATTCCCATTTCACAGCCTGGAACCTAAATGAGACTGACAAGCATGGAGCCTGTGGCATCACCAGGAATAAATCCTGAGGCTTTCTTGAGCCTCAGTGCAATGCTCTGCTGGATGAGTTCATCCTTGTGTTCCAAGGAGTCTAATTGCCTGGTGTAACAGGAAGCATCAACTACCTGTCATGCAGCTTCAGAGTAATGACCTGTTCTGGAACACCCACTTGTGAAACCCACAGAATCCCAGAAGAGTTGGGGTTGGACCTCTGGAGATCATCTAGTCCAACCCAGGCAGGGTCAGCTGGAGCAGGTGGCATGGAAACACATCCAGCTGGGTTGGAATATCTACAGAGAGGAGACTCCACACCCTCCCTGGGCACCTGCTCCAGTGCTCTGCCACCTCCATGGACACAAATTCTTCCTCATGGTGAGGCCACTCTGTGCCTCCTGTGAGCACAGGAACACAGGGGCAGCTCTGCCCTTCCCAGAAGGGAACTTACTGCCACAGAGGTCTCCAAAGACGTAGTAGCACTGTTCTGAGAAGGTGATTTTGTTCACAGTGTGCCTGAGGTAGCCATGTTTCAGCATGCTGCTGGCATATTTCCTAGCCTCCCGGCGGTCTTTGAAGCCTTCTACGTGTGTGTAGAGCCAGTCAACCACATCTGCTCCTAAGATGAGGACAGGAAGAGGAGACAAATTGATCCAATCGAGCACTACATGAAGAGTGACACCCAACACGCACACAGAAAATCTTGTTTACACACATTCCTCAACCTCTTTGAGCTGCAGCAGTGAAAATGCAAAGGATTTCCAGAAGGGAAGTGATTGGGAGAATCATCCACCTCAAGAAACAGGTGGCAGGTTGCCCTAACTGACTCCTTTTGTCAGCAAAAAGTAACTACAGCCTAGACTGAGTAAATACTAGCACAGCTCAGGTCACAGGTAGACTAGCTGTGGTAGTTTTAAATGTAATTAAGATGCTTTATTAAGGTTTTGTGGCTGTCTGGAACTGGAATTCCAAGGGTTGTTGCTCGCTGAGCCTAGGCAGATTGCTAAAGCCACAAGGAGTTACCTGGAAAAGCTGAGCTAGAACAACTAAGTGTTAAGGATCAGCTCTGGGTGGTCACGAGAAACAAGCAGCAATTTTGGCTCTCCAGGCTCAAACAAGAGCTGTTAGTTATTTCCTGTCACACTTAGAGCTGTTCATCAATACCAAGTTAAGGGACTCTAAGACAGGGGAAAAAAGCTCATATTTTCTTGGCCCTATTTCCACCATGGTTTCCCCCTTAGAATTCCTTGGATCTCTTACCTATCACTGCATTGGAGATGGTGATTTTTAACCACATCCTGTCCCGAATTTCAAGGCCTGAGTCTGGGAGCTGCATAACCTTGACAATAGTAGCCATGTCACTCTTCACAGTTAAGGGAGACTCTTCTAATTCTAAAAGGAAGAAAGGTTAGAGCTGCTTTGAAATGAACTGGGTCTGAAAAGAGCTTCTCAGCTCCCAATTCGGATGAAACAGAGTTTTACCAACAGATGCAAAAGAAGACACAAAGTTTCTCAAATGTTCCCTCACCCAGGGCATAAATTACAGCAATTGTACCAGTTCTTCAGAGCCTGTGCTCAGTGCAAAGAGTTTAGCCACTGAAATGTTGAGTCTCCACATGTCTTGAATTCACAGAGTAGTTCCAGGTCAGCACTGTGAACCCACAGTGAGATGGCAGGAGAGGAACCCAAGGACTTCTATGACCATCACTTTCCATTCCAGCTGTCCATGGACAGCCCTTCCCACCCCAGGGATCAGTGCACTGTGTGCAGAACTCTGTAGGACAAGAGTTTTTGGCTTGTTCTTTAACTTTTGGGTTAAGTAGTTGTCAGAAGTAACACCCATTTGCATGGAGAAAGAGGACAAGCATGTCTCAATCCATGTCCATTTGTTGGGTTTTTAAGACTTGGACATCAGCATTCTTGGGGAGAACTGAAATGAGAAATCTTCCACCATCAGCAGAAAGGCTAGTGGTTTCCCTAGGTTTTCCCAGGATCCCAGTGAAGGCAGCCTTACAAGTGACCAAGTCACACAGATTTACTTTGTCCTGCATTTTTCTGGTAGACATCCTCAGGGGATTCCCACTTTCCTGGTCAATCTT